GGAATAATGGTGTTTAAGAAACATAAGTGGAACCCAGATTATTAAGTTCTCTGGTATTTGTTAACGTTGCCTATTTGTGAAAAGTGCAAGCAAAGGATACTAACAGTAACTTCCAAAATACCAGATTATTTCTAGAAGGGAAAAAATATCATGCTTCAATCAGCTATCGCTAGTGTTAGTGCTAATTCTCAAGCTATTAGTAAATTAGTGCAGCGTAAACCAAACATTAGCTGGAAGTAAAATTAGCACTGCTTGTAAATGCTTGTTTGCTAGTGACATTGAACAAGTTTAATACTGCTAGTTAATCATAGTCCTAGTCATCAGCGGGAGTTTACTGGCGTATCGTTTGCTTGTATGATTCCAAGGAAACCAAGCTAATTACAAGTTGATACCATGAAATACATATTTACATCCTTATTCGGATAGAGTAGGAGTAATGGTGTTTAAGAAACATAAGTGGAACCCAGATTATTAAGTTCTCTGGTATTTGTTAACGTTGCCTATTTGTGAAAAGTTACATAGTATGGATATAGCAGCCGAGTATTTAGAGTGCCCGCTAAGTTACCAGAACACCAGTTTGACCTTGAGACAAGTCAGTAGGTTTTTGATCGTTCAAAACCGGGCTCAGTTGTCCTTTATCATTGGGATCCTGACAAATGAAACAGCTGATCTGAATTAAATATCTCAAAAGGTACTTAAAAGTAGTTCAATTGAACAAGTTGAAGAGGGATTTGTTCTGAGCTTCCAAACAATTCAAGGTCAAACAAAAGTGTTGAATTTGTGTAGCTAAGGCAGGAAGCTCCGATTTCTGCTCAATCATGATTCCTTCTATGACCGACTGTAACTTTCAGAGTAAATTGCAAAACAGCTCTATTCATTCATTCGGAGAATATATTATGTCAGCTATTAGGCTTGACTAGTGATAGCAGCCACCGATCTGATTTTTTAATTTATTTCACAAAAAGAAAAACATATCAACAATAGGGTTGAATTGAATGCATATTTCCGCGACCGTGGAAAGTGTTTGCCAAAGTGTGCATTCCAAGTAGACAATCTCATCAAGATCATGGGAGACGATGATGTTGCTGTGACGGGAGAAGATGTTAACGTATTTGCTGTAATCTTTCCCCACACAATTCCCTTTATTCTCCAGCAGATTTACCCATAAGGGCCAGCGCACACTCTCCCGACCACGACCAAACGCCCGACCGGTAGTTGTCATTCACCATGCGACCAGAGCACGACCCGACCAAGACCCAACCAAGGCAACGAATGTTTTACCAACTTCAGTGTCAAGATGAATGTTGAAGAAGTATCTGCTATTGTGCATTTGTATCGTAGGTAGGCCTAGTTTAAGCGGAAGAAGAAACGATACTGGGTACATCCAATGGTAACTGAGACTTTTCCTCCTGAGTAACGTCATCACGTCCACCAAACATCAGCGTGATCTCCTCCCTAGCTTCCATCTTCATCCCTCTGTTGCTATAATCTAGGCCTACTGCTGATAGATCCCATAAACAGGACCTTTCTTTAATAGCTAAAATAAAACTCTCAGTGTAAAAATCCTGCGACACTTTACAAAAATAAGTCTTTGAAATGAAATGAAAAACATTTACTCATCTCAAGAAATTTAAACTAAAACAGAGAGTAGTTATACAACAATACAATACAACATTTGTAAGTTAAAATTTGCCTTACTTATGAGATAGGCCTTCATGGACAGATGTCTGTGCGTATGCCTGGCTGTTATCAGTCTAAAAAATAAAGGGTACAAACTGATTTTGGGAAGATTTTTAAGCCTTTTATACCAAATTGTTTAGTGGATGAGAGAATGTCGGCGATGACAACCAAAGCTAGTGCGATCTAAGACAGAAGACATTCTGAGGGCGAGGGGGTCGAAGGGTCAAGGATTGTTTAGTCAGGGTCAAGTATGGTTAGGTCTCTGATCTAAGTTTAGGCCTCTTCATTGGTAATTGTGTGGAGTAACATGCATCTGTTTTTTTTAATTTCTGTATTGAGGGTAAACTAAAAAGGTGTTGGATATTATATTATTAAATTAGATTTCGATATAGAATCTGAGAAACATAAAAACAGTTGGTAGTTAGAACTGACTTATGTAGCTGAGGGACAGATATTCCAACATTGTGTGAATATCTTGTGTAGTGGTGATGTGTGACTGCTGCAAGGATTGTGTTAGAGTTTTTGAATGTGTAACTAAAAAGGAACTGAATGAAAATATGTCTGACTTCACAAATAAGTCACTTCAATATACTTCAATAATTCACTTCACAAACCACACAAAAACAAATGCTCAATGTTTTGATTGATCTAGGAATACTGGAGGTTGAGTGGTGTACTGGTCAGGTTGGACACAAGTCGGGGGGTAGTGCGCGTTGTCCCATTACATTGTGTGCTATTTTTGGCTGCAACAGCCAGCGAGTCGGACCCGACCAAACTGCAAGGACTTTGGTCGTGCGACCAGGGTCCGACCAGTCGACCAGTGCGCGCTGTTCCATTGTGGCGACCCTGTAGGTCAGATATCCCTAGGAGTCGGTTACAACAAGGTCGGATATGAGAGGATCTACCACAAATAAGAAAATCCTAATGTGAAGTACATTTTCATTATCATTAAATGTAGTTGCTGCTTGTATTGGGCAGTTGTGAAAAGTCTAATTCCATGTTGAGTCAAAGACTTATAGGTAGATAAGTGGATGTTTTATTGTGTAACACCTTAAAGCATTCCATCCAATATACCTGTAAATAAATTCAATTTAATGATTTGAGTTTCTTTAAAGAGACCAAAACTCACCCCATCATCATCTTTAAAGACCTCTTTTAAATCTTGTCTTAATTTCTCTGGTAAATCACTGATGTTGAATCCCAACTTGTCTAGTTGATTCTCACAATATTTTGCTGAAATTCAAGAATCTCATTAAACAACAGCTGATATCATCAGCATAATTAGGCCTACAGACAAAAAAATTTATGGTCAACAATATTGAAGCACTGTAAGATATGAGGGTCTTAAATAAACCATTAAAAACCACAGAGAAAAAAGAAACTGAGAGGTACAGAGGAAACTCGCTTATGGGACAGTCGTGCGCTTTCAGCTCTACTACTCTGGTATGTTGTTCCAGAAATACTTGTGACGAGCAGTGTTGGAATCACATCAACATTTTAGATTTAAATTCTATAAGATAGTAAAAGCTTTAAAAAACTTTAAATCAGAGAGCTGTTACTTTCAACGCACTTTTTTTATTTCCAATTTGAATTCACAACAACACAACAATGAACATTTTTTATCATAGCTGAATCTTAGCAATGAAACAACAACTGCAAAGACTAAAGAGTATAAAATATTTAACAGCTGATTCAAATTATTACACTAGCTGTATATAGTAAACTGACAACTTCTAACATCCTCCTAGCAAGATGCCAAATCTCCAAATCTCCAGGATGCTCCTACCAAATGTTCATGGAACATTTTACAAGTGAAATGAACTTCAATAAATTATTGATTAACAATCCTATATATAATATGAGTAAAGTTTGAATATTTGTTACTTCGATCTGGGAATAGGCACATATAAACACGTTTATACTTACGGTACCGGTATAACTAAGATCTGTGCCAAAAATAACTAATTGTTATGAAGATGTTACAATGCATGTGCATATCCTATTTTGACCTAATTAAAAATAGTGATGGATTAACTTTTTAAAGAAAGAAACAGTTCATTTTGTAAGAAAACATCACAAAACTACACTTTAAGCTTCATTTTTTGAGTTTTTCATTCATACAATGTCAAATAGTTATTTGTGTAACTAGTGAGCAAAGTGGCACTTTGCTGCACACGAGAGCAGTGGGGAATGATCTCGAGTGCAGCAAAGGCCTTTTGCACTCGAGTTACACATGATATTTTTCCTACAGTCACTATAAAGCATATAAATATAATTAGTCTTTCAAACACTATACAACACGTTTTCAGGTTCAGCTGGCAACACAAATAGGTGCCCTAGAGAAAGTAGTCACTACGCTATTTTTTCCTCGGCAAGCAATGTGCTCCTTGCGACTTGAGAAAATAGTTCCGTATTTCCGCCCCTAAAAAAATGCTTTAAAAGTATTTTCTTGTTTATTAAAATCATAGGAATGTTTTTAAAACGTTTTTAAAAAAAGTCCAGAATGTTCAGAAATACCAAAACTATAAACACAAAATGACAGGTTAAATCGTAGTTATAATAGTCAATCAGCTGCTCATAGTATTACTATCTTTAAGTGTTGCCAACCTATTTCCAAGGGTACACGGATTACGTGCATAATAGAACCACGCTGTTTTGTGTTGTTTCGATGGAATCCTGATGTGCGCCAAAGTATAAACCGTACGACAAAGTATAAATATGCAGCAATTAGCAGCTTCCTGTACTATAAACAGTACAAGGAAGCCAACTTTGTCGGGTGACTGTATGAAAAATAAATTTTTTTCTACAGTATTTTACAAGTTTATATGTAGTTTCCTGTTTTAACTCTTTTTTTTCATACAACCTGATCTGGGTTCCATAAGAGTCGGTTAAGAGAGGAGTATTGTTTTTAAATTTACAAATGGTAAACTCACCTTTATCCTCGTATTGCTGCAAACATGTTTTCAGTCCAGCAATCGCTTGATCAATGGCTACTTCATTTTTCTCTTTGTCCGCAAAAGAACTGTTAAACTCATATGATACCGACGTGGAGAATTTATTTAAGTCATCTTCACTAGCTTTAAGAGAGCTATTGTCTTCATCAAATGTAAAAGGAGATGACATATTAAACTATACTGCATTCATCCACCTAAAAGAAAATCAATCATCATTAAGTAGGGCTATAGCCCTAGAGAATACAAATAACAAGAAACAATTATATATGATATGCTTACAGGTTAATGTTATCTTTCTCTGTCAAATGATTCTTGGTTAGTGGTACTGTATCAATAGGCCTAAGTTACTACAGTTTCGGACCCCTATTAGCCGTGAGCAACATGTGGCACAGCTAGTGGAGCCGCCGGTGGTGATACCGGTGATCCACAGCGTTTTGGAACCTGGACACTAGTCACGCGACACATTCGTAGCTCGCTCAAACAGCGGAATTCACCACAACACTCTAGTGTCAAACATGACATTGAGCAGTTCGGAGCTCCTTCTTCTTCTTCTCCTGTTAAAAAAAAGGAGGCGAAGAGTCAGGCAGTTTAGGAGACATCCCATTCTAGTTCCTAGGCTCAGCGAAGGCATTTATTACACTCTGTTCGACGATCTTTGTGCTCACCCCAGTAAGTTTTTCAACTACTTCTGCCCATCACTGGAAGGAAAGAATACACTGTTAAAAAGGCACTGGTAAACAAAGTGAACAGAGAGTCACTAATGAATAGAACAGCAATATGGCAAGGCACGTCTCAATCAACTCAAACCACGATGTAGACTGTGTGACAGGCTTCGTTTTCAAGTTATTACAGCATGCGCGCGCAGTCAGTGGAGACTGCAATGCCCCCCGACTGCCTAGACACTAAAATGGCCGCGACACATGTTGCCGGGCAAAATCACTCCCGGTAACATCTCGGGCAGCTTTTTCGGCGTCGCCACCGGTCTCCTCGCGGCTAATAGGCGCCATTTGACTTCATGCCCCTCTACACGTCCGACACCGGCGGCTCCACTAGCTGCCCCACATGTTGCTCATGGCTAATAGGGGCCTATTAGAGTATTAGACTAAAACATAGGCCTAATTCATCCATCCAAGTTTTGGGCCAAGTCTTTCAGAACAATTGAAGGTAGCCTACTTTCCTGTTTAAGGGAACATTCATTATTATGGATGACTTTTTCGATATATCGATATTTTTGTTTTCGTTTACGATCCATATTCCTTCTGTTTTAATATCTTCAAACGTATTTAAATTACAAACTGACAACTGATCTTGTTTAGGCAAAAATAACATATAGTGGATTGACACCTTCGAACATAACGAGTCAATCCTCCTCAGACTCTGCAATCTGAGCAAGGCTTTTGATGTGGTGTCCCATAAGCTACTGATAGGCAAACTAGCAAAGGATGGTGTGGGCGGAATTGTGCTGAAGTCCCTGGTACTGTTATCTGGCTAATCGCAGACAAGTAGTCTCAATAAATGGGGCCTTCTTCTGCATCAGGAGTATCTCACATGGAGTGCCACAGGGCTCGGTGCTCGGCCCTCTCCTTTTTAGTGTGGCGGTGAATGACTTGAGGCTAAATGGCTCCACCCTCCTCTTCGCTGACGACACCACCCTGATATCTAGAGGAAGCGATATTGAGCAACTGCATATTGAAGCTGACCATCTTTTGGAGCTGGCCAAGAACTGGTTTACAGCAAACCGCCTAAAATTAAATGCAGCCAAAACTGAGTCCTTGCTCTGCACACTGAACCCACTAACCGAAAGGGGTTGAGGCGGTTAAACTTCTAGGGTTCTGGTTGGATCCCAAACTCAGCTGGAGCTCACACATTGATAGGGTATGCGCACGGCTATCTAGGGTAATTTGCCTCCTAAGGAAACTTTGGAACGTCATCCCGAAGCAATTCTTGATAACTGTGTACCATGCTCTGTTTCATAGCCATCTTATGTACGGCTTGGTACTTGGGGCCATTCACCAGCACCACAGGACATATTATTGCTTCAGAAAAAAGCTGTAAGAATCATAATGTCAGCCGACTACAACGGGCATTGTAGACAAGACCCCTTTTTAAAGACCTGGGCATTCTTACAGTATCTAATCAATACGTATTGAACATCCTAATACTTCCGAAAGAGAATGTCCATCTGTTCGACCAAAGAGAAGTTCATCACCGCTATGACACCCGGCAAGCACTACACCTTGACATGCCGCGATGTCGTCTCACCCGCACCTTCAAGAGCTATCCCCGCTATGTCATAAGGCTTTTTAACACCTTGCCGGATAAGGTGCGGGATATGAACATCACCTCTTTCAAAGCAGCAATCAGAAACAGCTTAGTAAATAGGCCAGTATACTCGCTGAAGGAGCTGAGTGAAGAGCCCCTAATAGTACTTAGAAGCCCTTCCCTAAAAATGTGTAACTCGTCTTATTTACCGCCACAGCCTCGTTAAGTTTTGTATGTATGTAAAATACTTAATAGTACGGTACCTAGTGTTTTTTTGCAGTCTATCCGACATTGTCGGTCAACGACGTAGCACACAAGTATCAAGTAAGTAAGTACACCTATAGAATGGAATTTTAAAATGTTGATTTGATACTAGAGGTGACCTTAGTGCAACTTACAGTGGTGGATTAGGAAAACCAAAAGCAATCGCTTTAAAACTTAGTCTTAGATAGGCCTACAGTCATAATTTAAACCTATCGGCTGGCTTACAGTAAAATTCATTGGCCTGGTTGTATGTTTAAAATCAGTATTTTTAAAGAACATAATATTTACAATGTATTTACTCACCAGAACTAGCCTACACCTAGGTGGCTAATTATTTTGTTTCTCTAATTTCGAAGTGCAGCTTCAGATTAGATTAAGTTACAGTAAATTAGGGCTATTTAAAATTATAACTTCACAAATACACAAGCTACTGAGAAATAGGAACTATACCTTTCATTAGGATAAATAAATAAATTGCCTAACTTCGAACGGAAGATTCAAGATTTTAAAGGTTAGAAAAGATGGTGGGAAACAATAAACACGGAGTACAGTTACAGTAGCTAAGATTATGCACAGAGTATACTATCTTTGACATCCAATAGTCAATGATACTATACTCTCGCATTTAAAAAGGGATATTGAGTGCATATAATAGCAACCTAGCAAATAATTGCTGAAAACAAAATCAATAATTGACTTGTATTTTGCTTTTGTAAATTGAATTTATCATCCTACTATCAAACGTGAAGACTTTTTCCATGCGTATAATGTTGATAACGTTCAGAGAGCACTGATTTTAGTGATTTTTACAACTATTTTTTATCCACCTAATCATAGATTTAAACATACTAACATAGATAAACATACTCCTCAAGTATGTTTTATCTATGATACTACTAACCACTGAGCTTAAGTAAACTATATTAATAGCTGGAGTAACCACTGTGTTACCATGGTGGAAGGAAAAAACAGTGTTACTGTGTTTAAAAAACGTAGCCACTGTTTTTGCTGGTTTCGTTTCAGAGTTTCGTGTTGTTAGGTTGGCCATGTGATCGGTTGGTGGGACTTGTCAAATTAGAGGCTAGATGAAGATGGCGTCATCCTGTTGTTTTGTTGATAGTAAAAAAAGATATGTAAACATTATGATTGCAATATAAATTTATTTATTTATTTTACGAGCAACCCATTTTAACAGTAACAAGATCATAACAAACCGATGGCCGTTCTTTAATTAAAATGCCATAGGGCTAACCAAGATTACTATAAAAATACCGGTATGGATCATAAACATCAACAAAATGACGTTTTTGGCCCGAAAATAAACATTATTTAACATTGATTAAATAAATGGAACTGCCAAAACGTATGTTCCATGCTATTAGCATAGATAAAACATAGTCCCTTATTAGTATAGGATTCGGGCCAACAACATCATTTGTTTATGTTTATGATCCACACCGGTATTTTTCTAGTAATCGTGGGCTAAACCTAAGACTAAACCAAAATCTCCAACCCCAAACCAGGAAACTTGACTATTTTCACCATTAATCATAGCTTCAAAAGAGGTAAGTTAGTATTTATTTACTATAACCAAAAACTTAAATACTTTTAATACTTTTCGATGAAATGGCAACCATACAAAGTAAACAATTTATAACTTAATGTTTCAAAATAACTTGAAATACAAAGTTTTTAACGTGCAACAACTTAAATAACTTTTTGATACAAATCCTTGAAATAACGGATAACCCCAAATAAATAGTAGGCCCGTGGTTATGTTAGAATGAATTGGAATTTGACAGCATGATCCCACCAACCGGACACGGCCAACCTAACAACACGAAACACCGAAAACAAACTAGCAAAAACAGTGGCACGCTTTTCTCTAATGTTTAACCAGAGAAGAGTAGTGACTCAAGTTATAATCTATTTATCTCAATGCTACTAACTCACTCACCCTAGTGGCCCTAGTGGCACTAATGTAGAAGGTAAAGAAAACAGTGTAAAGAGAAATCAGTCCAAACTCATCGATTAGTGGATGCCTGGATACGCCTGGGATCGAGTCCGTCCCTCTCTTACTGAAGTCTCTGAGGTGAGGTGCTAAACTCCAAGGGGTAGGGTGTCATACCTTATAATGATACAGCTTATAATTGCGAATTCGTTCCATAAAACTCATAATCGCTTAGCTTATAATCGTAGAAGTATAGCATTTTGAATGTGGCATTTTGTATGTGCAATTTTGTCATCCTTGGAGTTGTATATGTTTCTTATTATGGGTTTCATATGCATGGAGAATCTTTCAGAAGACTACGTCATCAACAAAAAATCACAATCCCGTCCTCATTTGCCTTTCAAAACAATTCTACATTTAAAACCAGCTGACAAAATATAAGGTAATATCAATGATAACGAAAGGAGATAAGACAATGAGATGTACCCCCCCCCCCCCCCGTGACCATGATGGGCTGAATCAGTACAGTATAATAGCGGGTTTTTAAGCAAAGGTGATAAAGCTAATTAAATTTATAACTGTAGAAAAAGTAATATCGGTTCTATACAGATGATAAAGGTCTGTGTGATTTCAGAAGTTTACCCATTTCAGGCAATACATAACTTGAATACAGTTTGTAAATACAAATTATATAGCTTCCCTGGGAAAATAATACAATTTATGAACTATTCAATGAATTGATTGATTGAACTCCCAAAATTTCTATTATAAAAGGAGTTCCAACATTTTGTTAAGGTTTCTGTGGGAGAAACTTGTTGGTGCTGTACTTGGATCTATCAATGTTTTTCTCAATATTCTTCACCTATTCCTTCTTGAAAGTCAGTACATTATGTTAGGCCTACTCTTGTTACTGAACCCCCTATGGAAATTTTATTTAGACCTATGACTCCAAGCCAATCAAGTTTTTAAAGATACAAAATTAATATTACATGCATCTTTTACTCCTCTGGTAACAAAGTGTTGATGGAATTTTTGGGAATGAATTCCAAATGTTTTTAAGGGTTATGGCTGAAAAACTATCAGAAAAATTGAAAAAAAACCTATACAGTTTGGTAATTAATTGGATCAGATCAAGAACACTTTGTGCAGTTATGAGGGCAACAAGTATGTGTCTGAGACGAACAAGAAAGACATTTCGGTCAGCTAGAAAAGTTGAAAATGGAACTGGGATTCCAATTTTTGTTATGAAGTATAATTGCTGAATTCTGATTGTACTGTACTCTTTTTTGTAAAATTTCCATTGTATTAATCTTTTACCTCACTTTGTACCATCTTCATCTAATTTTCCATGTCTCACCTTTTTGAGATGCTGCTGACTTACTTTTTGAGAGCGGTTTTTACAACTTAATTACCAAATCTGGGGGGGTATAAGTTTGTTTCCTTGTCCTAAAAAGGATTTTGTAAAGAAAGGACACTTTTAAATATAGATATAATACATATTTATAAGACATTACTGCTCTTTTTACACTGCTCATCTAGTTTAAACTGAACTAATTTATTTGCATCTCTGTAGAAGTTTAATTGTTCTAGTAAGACAAGCCTTTTCAATTCCGCAGTTGACAACCTTTTTGTTTCTTCGGTTTCAGGAAGTCTGTGTCTCTTTTCTGTGTGAGATGTTGATTCTCCAGCAGAATGATTCATCAATATTTCTTGGGGAAGAGGTTTGCACATTTCATCTTCATCTGAATAGCTGTTTACATCCACCTCAGAGTTTTCTGCATTTAAAGTAAGAAATTCTCCACCTTCAGAATCATTTCGCAGAAGTTCTGCTGATACAGCACCTGGAAACATAGTGTTATAGCCTTCTCCTTCTGTCAATAAAGTTAGTTAAATGATGGTTCAATCGATAGTTTCCAGCTAGGTCCTTCGGATCAATCGATATTGGAAACAAACTGTAAAACAATGGTAGCACGGGATAAACATACTGCCACCAATCATTATCAGTGAACTTTAGATGGCCATTGCACTTATCATTAATTTAACATACTGGCTCATTCCTTGTTATTTGTTCCCTCTTTGACCAGAATTACAACTCCATTAAATTCCCATGGTACAGTTAAAAGTTAAAGTCAGTTTTAGAACAAAAATAAACATAGTGGATTAGATTTACTGACTGTATTTTACTGTAATTTACTGAGCAATATGATGAAAATCACTTTTGTTAAATATGTAACTTTTTTACCTGAGGCAAAGTATGTAAGTATGTTTTTTTACGTCAATAATAGATTTTATTGAACATTTTTTCCCTCAAATAATGAGTTTTTTAATTTCTTGATTTGATTTCTGAAATTTGGCTTTCATATAGCATCGTACTTTGGGGCTCTGCATCTGAGTCACTAAAATCAAAATCACAGGTTTTCAAGATTCAAAAAAGAGCTATTGGGAAAAAAATCTGTGTAAATAATAGGTGAAGAACGTCTCCCCGCTTTTTACCGTTAAATATATTGACTCTACTGAATCAACATATTTATCAAATGATAATATTATATAAATTTAAATATTTGTCTTGTATTAGTACTGGCAGACATTCACAAAATTATAATATGAGGAGAAAGGCAAACATATCATAGACTAGATTTAGCAGCGCCTCGCAAAATCTAGGTAAAAATTAAATAGGCCCTAATACAATTTTTTACTCTTATGATAAATTTCTGGAATGTAATATTTTTCATTTACAACCAGTCCATTAATATTCCCAGATAACTTTACAGTTAGTTTAATTTTTTTTGTTCTAAATATAAGTTAAGGATTTGGATATTTTAAAAGTGTTGTAGTTGCCTTCATTAAAAGGATAAAAAAATATAAATGAAGGTCTAAATACAGGGTGGGGAAATGAGAACGCCACAATTTGTTTTGGCTGTCACGTGTTAATTGTTGCAACAACGAATGATCAGCTCTGCTTAAAACATCAATTAAACTATGCCATTTTAGTAAATATTATGCCCGAGGCTATTAACTCTGAGATATTGATGTGCAAACCTATTTTTAAAACAGTGGTTCTTGTGCAAAAACCCAGAGATTGTGTGGACCACATTCCATCCTTGGTCAACATACTGCGACTCTTTCAACATTTGCTGGTGTACAAAGAGTTTTGCGGCACCCACCGATTATTTTTAAGGTTTAAGCGTTTATCCTAAATAATTTTACCCAGTTCACCATTGTTTTCCAATCTGGAACAGTGCCATGTTGACCAAGGATGGAATGTGGTCCACACAATCTCTGGGTTTTTGCACAAGAACCACTATTTTAAAAATAGGTTTTCACATCAAAATCTCAGTGTTAATAGCCTCGGGCATAATATTTACTAAAATGGCATAGTTTAATTGATGTTTTAAGCACAGCTGATCATTCGTTGTTGCAACAATTAACATGTGACAGCTAAAACAAATTGTGGCGTTCTCATTGCCCCACCCTGTATAAATAAATAGTTTGTGTTATCAAACGATTCCATTTCATTTCTATATCCCAATAAAAAATATTAGGCTATAACAATTATTCCTTTCGCCAGTCAAAGTTATGCTTGTGTAAAGCAAAGCAAGATACATACCTTGCTCAACCCAGAAGTTGTTTCCCCTCAGCGCTGCCAACTTAGATTCCTCTTCCATAAAATCTGAGAAGTCTTTTTGCCAGTCTTTAAGATAAAACGTTTTCTTCCCAGCCTTCATGAGTTCATTTCTCTTCTTGATCCTACTCTTCAGGTTCTGAATCTTCTTCGCTATTTGACACTCGGTGATCGGAACGTTCATTTCAAGTTCAACACGTTTTGTGATTTCCGTCAACGCGGCGGTCCTCTTTTTTCGTATTTCCGGGAGCATAGATACGTTCAACATAATAGGGTATTCTTTTAAAATAGACACGAATCTTCTCTGAGCTTCATCCGCTTCTAGACTTGCACAATCTGTCATATTTTTATATTTACTACCGAATAGACAAAATCTAACTGAGTTCCACAACACAAGAATCTAATCGAATCTTCGAATGAGAAATAAATTTACTTCACAGAAATACTAGTATGACACGTCAACATGTTGCTAGGAGGCGGAGCGGAGTGTTCACTCTCGGAGTCAATAACTGGAGTGAGAGAGAGGGAGAGCTCCCTCCTCGCCCACCCGTCGTGTTGCCAACCTAACAGAGAGAGACAGAGAGCTCCCTTCCTTTGCATTGTTAACTAGTAGAGAAAGAGTGCTCGACAGTGTTGCCATCTTATTAGAGGAATTAAGAGCTCCGAACCATTTTGGCCAACTGAAGTAAAAGGGAGAGAAGAACCACAGCTACCTCTAATACATTAGAGGTGGCTATGGAAGAACTCCCTCTTCAGTGTGATCAACTGAGTACTCAGTGCCATTGTTGCCAACTGAAGTAAGGTATAAATTAGACATAGGTATCTCATCGGTGTTGAGGACATACAGAGAGTTCTAACGTCGTTCCATCTGCCGTCTGTAAAGCTTCTTGGTATTACTCTTGACCAGAAACTAATATGGGATATTGCTCTATCCGTGCATATGTTGTGTTGTGAGTTTTGGGAGGAACATACCAACAACTTAGCTAATCGATTAACTAGGGTTTGTTTTTTATTGAGAAAACTTAAGACTTGTGTAAGTCAGGAGCTAATGAAAACTTCGTATTTCAGTTTCTTCCATTCACATTTGTTATTTGCTAATACGTTGTGGGGAGGTAGTGCTGGAGCAGATAGAGTTTGTTTTGTGGCAAAAGAGAGCAATAAGAATCATGTTTGGTTTAGAGTTTAAGGATAGCGGTAGGAGTTATTTCTCTGCACATAATATTATGACTGTACCATGCATTTTTATTTTTCAGAATTTAATTTATGTCAAGAAAAATATTACAGACTTTTATTGTTTTAGTGACATTCATCAAACAAGAAATTTAAACAAATTAGTTTTACCAATCCCAAGACTAGAAAAGTATGCAAAGAGTCACAAATATCAACAAATAAATTTGTTTAACAAAATTCCAGAATCATTTAAGTTGTTAGATTTAAAATTATTTAAAAATAAGATTCATGATTGGCTTATTAGTCAAGATTTTTTTTCTATAAAGGAATTTTTAGAATGTGATATAAGTACAGTGTAAACTAAGTGTTGGGTCCTTTATTTACTATGAGTATTCGAATGTCTCGTTGTTGTTGTTGTTGTAAACGTTTTATTGTCTTGTTTATTTATTTTTTTGTTACTATTTTTATATAAAAATAATAACATACATACACACATATTTACTGCACACGTACATTTTACTGTAACGTATATTGATTTTATTTTATTGTTATTATTATTATCTTGGTACTGTCTTTCAATGAATAACTGATGAAGCCTATTGTAATCATGTGTTACTTAATGGTGAATAAACTTCTTGATTCTTGATTCTTGATTCGATAGTATTTTTTACACCAATCACCGATCCTTACAGATAACTTTATAACGTTATGACCACTTGTCATAGTTACTTGCTATTTTGGGGAAACCAATTAAGTCGTACAAACCTCATCTAACCACTCAACCGTAAATGCGCCGACAGATGTTATTTTTTGCGATTTATACGTCGTTTATTACGTTTCTAATAATGTGCAAAATGCATATTCTTTGTAGCAAATTGCAAATTGTTGAAAGACGCCGAGTTTTTAAACTACAAAATCCAAGATTATAAACATCTTGTATTGTTTAACACAATACGTCTTCCAATTGTAACTTGAGTTGTTCCTCCAAAACCACATGGGGGCTTCTAACAACCCTCAATGGATCCACAATTCTCGTCCCGCCATATCCGCCCCTAGTCATTATCCCCGCTTTTCAAAAACCGCCCAACAAAAAACATAACTAAACTCCACCGCAGCCACTTAGAGACTTCCTGGGCCCTGGACCGCCTTACATCGTCATTTACCTTAGATTGTGCAAATTCACAACAATAGGTTATAGATTCTTCCCACAGATTGTTTATTTCGATATTGCCACATATTGAATTGTAGATTCTTCATTAGATGCCGAGCACAGATTCTAGTGAACAAGTTGTAAGTAAGAAATCGTAAATTTTGTGTGCCCGCATAATTTGAAGCCAAGATCGCAAACTTTTGGTGTAGGTAGAATAAAATACAATCATACTATGTTCCTATTGCTGGGAATTTCATTGATAATAAGCAATTGTTGCACTATTATTGGTTTTACTACACTTTAACACTTGTAAAATTTTCATCAGTTGCAAAGCACAAGCTCAATAATAGTTTTATTTACATAAAAACTACTTTTAGCAATGTTATTACTTTGTAACACCAACTGAAAATAATCATTCCATGAGATAAATTTATACAATTACCATTGTTTCGTTTACAATTTGCAGCTCGCACGTGTCCGACAGGAAGCGGAAACCGTCAGCTGTTAGCGACCTCTCGTCTCCCGCCAAACAGCTGATTCACAGATGACTTTGAAGTTTTATAATAAACCTAGTTCGAATTTCAAAAAAACTCTGTTATATTCTGAATAACTACATAGGGGTTGAAGATAGGTTTTGCTTTTCGCTGTTTGGCCACCAAGACCCAAGAAAATGGTTGTTGTAGTGATAGTTGTAATTTTTGTATTACCATTGACTAAACCTTTACCTTAAATTAAAGAGTAAATAAATATTACTCGGTTTAAATCTGCATAGTATTAAGTATGGTATTGTTGAAAAAAATCAATGATGAATGTTCCCAAGTAAAATCCGAACTCGTTTACCTTCTTTGTCTAAGAATAAAGTGAGAGTATAATACTGTAATATTATTTTCGTGTTCTGTTATTGTATACGATTCCCTAATTTAATCCCGATTTATTGGTGATACTCTGAATATTATATTTTTTTTAAACGTATTTTTCACATACTCTCCATTTTAAGGCTCCCTCATCTCTTGAAACACAGACAAATGGAAACTAAATGAAGACTACACCACACTACACTAGACTAAAACAAAACGAATGAGACATATTTCCCCATTAGTGCTTGAATGCATAACCCAAGTTAACAAAAAATCGAAAGTTCAATCTTAAGACTATTTATCCTCTGTTCTTTGTTTTACATTTAAAATGTTCTGTACAAAAGAATATTTTTTTTCAAAATTGACTTATAATCCCTTTCGTTGCTTGGATTCCACATGGTATTTATAGGCTATTGCTTAAAAAATATGAACCTCCTTGGATGATACATACCTGTAAATTTAGGCTACCGGTACCACAAATGAATAGAGATCAATAAAGCATCAATTAATACACGCAGTGGGCAGTAGCCGCGCACTTTCGTGCAATTGCTAAACAACCCCTTGCACTATGGGGTGAGGGGAATCTCCCTTCAATATAATGAATCAGTGAAGGCCACCCCCTCAAAATAGGGGAGTGGGTCCACGTGCGTATTGTGCAATACATGCAAAACCCGAACTGGAAATGGCAATCTAAGTCTAATCGGACTAAAAAGTTGTATTCAGATTCTAAACCGTAGTTTGAATATGTGAGAATCTTACCTTCGATTAATTATTTAGTCCCAATAGAAAGTTAAAAAGTTTTGTGTAGATGTTGTGTCATAGTTCCTAGTTTTACATATTTATAATGTTGTATCTGATGTACTCAATTTTTAATTGGTTAGTTATGTTGGTTGTCGTTCTACATCATACATGAACTTATATAATACATTTCCTTTATCAATGTCTCGTTCTGTTTTCAGATCGGATCTTTTACAAAACGAAACCTTTCTTTCAATTTTATCATTTTGCTATACAACTCTTTTACTCGTGAGGCATATCGCACAGTTATACAGGTACCCAGACCCCGTTTATGCATAAATATATAATGTACTACGATAAACCCAAACGGTATTTATTAAAAAAATAGAAACATTCTAAAAAATATTGCAACATTTCATCAAGTACTATTTGTACATGATTTTGCAGAGTAAATTCCACAATCTTAAGTACAACATACAAATAAATCTACGGATAATTCTACTGATAATTTGAAATTTTACTCAAATTTCCAGAGTATATTTCCAGGGCCGGATTTCCCAATAGGCCCGGTAGGCCCGGGCCTATGGGCGCGAGCTCCCAGAGGGCGGCACGGCCGAGAGGAAATTTTTTAATAGCTTATCTAAAAATAAAAACCAATAGTCATAGTTGAAAAAAAAATTGGCTAATAAAGTATTCTGATTCTGAAGTTCATAGGAAGAAATGTTTTTAATATTTTTCAGTAACGCATCAATTTCGTTTTATTGTTAACGAACATTGGTTATACGGGAGTAGGCTGTAGGGATGTTGACGAGCGCCCGAGCGGTACGCATCGTATTGCCACTGCACTGCCACTAGCTGGCTCGGTGGCCGGCGCTAGGCCTACTGATCGGAGTAATTAGGGGCGCATACGTGCTATAATTATAGATTATATTATAGACACTGTCACCAGCCTCACCTCACCTCACAAAAGTAATCAACTAATATTTTGATTAGTTTAACAATCTGCAGGAATAAGTTAAAATATATAATACGTTGTGTTGAATATAAAAAAAAGATGAATTTATCTTTAAAAATTAACGAAAAAATATTAATTTCAGTTTGCAATAGGTTTTGGAAAAATTCAATACCCTCCAAAGCACCATTAATGCTGTCATTTTATTCTCATACCATTAGGATCGGTATGGTTGGCCGGAATATTGCTCTGTTTTGCTTTGGAAATATAACCTAGATGCAGTATCACCACAGATTAAATATAACTCAAGTCAACTTCTTATCACACAGTTATAATTAAATTTCTTTTTCATGTTGTCTAGTACATGTTTGTGACACTGGGCGTTAGTTTTGACGTAATTTTGTTTCTATTATTTTAGCGTTAGTTCTATGATGTGTGTTTTAATATCTTGTAATATAACCAGGAGTTAGGACCTATTGTTTATGATTAGATCGTTTTATTTTGGATAAACTAGGTTTAAATAACGATAATTGTTTTCAGCTTCCATAATGATGAC